TAAAATAATAATGAGCGTGTGTTAGAAAGCTGATCCTGGTCCTTATGATTGTTAACTGGGATTCTAAATCATTCATTTTATTTCACATGTACTAAATAGTAGAAAAAGGAAGAAAACTGCTAGGATCAATTTTATTTCTTTTTACTTTATTATTTTAAAATAATTTAGACTTAGAGGAAAGTTTTAAGAATAATAGAAAGTATACCCATATATCCTTTCCTAGATTCAATAATTCTTAACATTTAATCACATTTGCTTTGTGTGTACATGTATTAGCTTAATATCTAAAAGTTTAGTCTACCCCCAGAACTATATATAATCAATTTAATTTTTCAAATTAATCACCTGGAAAAGCATATGGCAAAATCTGGACTCTGGCCACGTGAATACCTTCCTGTATGTACTTTTGTTTGATTTTTTTGTTGTTGTTGTCATTAATGGCAGTGACATCTTTCCTTTGCCTTTTAGAAAGCAATCCCGAGTCTCCAGTGACTGTTACAGAGCCCTACCGAACTCTCTCAGGGCACACAGGCAAGATTACCAGTCTGGCTTGGAGCCCACATCACGATGGAAGACTGGTATCTGCTTCCTATGATGGTACAGCCCAGGTACTATTGTCCCCATAATCGTATGAGTTCTTTACTATGCACTCTAACTTAAATTCTTTTTTCTTACAGTTGTGGACAAGTTTTCTTTCCCCCAGATCATCTTCTACAGAAAGGAATTTTCTAGGTTTTAGAAGGCATTTTTAGTTTTATTCTATTTTTTGGACCCTTAACAGGCTAAGAATAGATTTTTTTACTTAGATGAAAGGGAAAATATTGATAAGAACTGTCTAAATCCTAACATTTTGACAGATTTCATTCTGACTCATTATCAGTATAGTGGCCTAAAATGATATGAAAAGTACTCCCAGGAATATTTGTAACAAATCACATAGGCAGGTCTCAAACCAGAAGCTGTGGAGTCTAAAGCCCATGTTCTTTTCTTTTCTTTTTCTTTTTGAGACAGAGTCTACTCTTACCACCCTGGGTGGAGTACCATGGTATCATCATAGCTCACTGCAACCTCAAATTCTTTGGCTCAATTGGTCTTCTTGCCTCAGCATCCCATGTAGCTGGGACTACAGCCACCTACCGTGATACCTGGATGGTTTTTCTATTTTTATTAGAGATGATGCTCACTCTTGCTCGGGCTATTCTCAAACTCCTGAGCTGTAGTGATCCACCTGCCTCAGCCTCCCTGAGTGCTCAGATTAGCGTCATGAGTAACCACACGTAGCCCACATAAACAATTTTTAATAACAAATTGGTACATCAGAAATCTTCTAGTTCTAAAAAATAAAAGGTGAAATGCCAAGCCTGATCCATGAGGTAGGAGTTGTAAGTAACAGAACCAAAATAGACCTCAGGAGCTGGGGGTCTAACATCCATGCTAGATGTCTATCTTAGTGTTTAATGGTAATAGCTCAATGTCTATCTCAGTGCTTAATTGTAATTAAGTTGCCTGCACAAAGGTGGGAGCCATGAAGGGCTCCCTTCTGTAAAATTGAGATCAGAATAATTTAAGAAACAGCAAGGAAGATGGCCCTTTGCCAAAGGACTTGGGGACAAAGAATCACCTGTGAGAAATTAGATCCCCAACTTTTGGATTCTATGTGGGCTGTTTTCTTCATGATATCAGAACCCCCTAGCCCCAAAATTAACATATGGTATTGGTTTGAGATGTGAAATTCATAGGGCCTCAGTAGAAGCTTTTACAAAATTATCCCCATAGAGGTGCCTCTACATCTCAGAGCACGTATGTCTCCCAGAGGAAATAGTACTCTCTGAATTAAACACCTAAGAGAAAACTACAAATCACAAGAGAATACAGAGTCCACAGATTACTTTAAAAATTAGTAAATTGGCTCAGCACCTATAGCTCAACCGGCTAAGGCGCCAGCCACGTACACCTAAGGTGGCGGGTTCGAATCCCCAGCCCGGACCCACCAAACAACAATGACGGCTGCAACCAAAAAATAGCCAGGCGTTGTGGCGGGCGCCTGTGGTCCCAGCTACTTGGGAGGCGGAGGCAGGAGACTCACTTGAGCCCAGGAGTTGGAGGTTGCTGTGAGCTGTGATGCCCATGGCTCTCTACCACAGGCAACATAGCGACTCTCTTGTCTCAAAAAATAAGAAGATGGAGGTTGCTGTGAGCTGTAATGCTACGGCACTCTACCCAGGGGGACAGCTTGAGGCTCTGTCTCAAAAAAAAAAAAAAAAAAATTAGTAAATTGGCTCGGCACCTGCCACATACACCTTGAGCTGACGGGTTCAAATCCAGCCTGACAAGCCAAACAACAATGACAGCTGCAACCAAAAAATAGCTGGGCGTTGTGGAGGCTCCTGTAATCCCAGCTACTAGGGAGGCGGAGGCAGGAGAATCATTTGAGCCCAGGAGTTGGAGATTGCTGTGAGCTGTGATGCGACAACACTCTACCCAGGGTGACAGTTGAGGCTCTGTCTCAAAAAAATAAATCAGAAAAATTTATGTCCCCAAAACAGTAAAATTACAGAAATTAATTACTGTTTTAATTAGAAATTACTCTATCATGTGACTTTTGGGTTTAGGTATGGGATACTCTGCGGGAAGAACCCCTGTGCAATTTCCGAGGACATCGAGGTCGATTACTTTGTGTGGTGTGGTCCCCGTTAGATCCAGACTGCATCTACTCAGGGGCAGACGACTTCTGTGTGTACAAATGGCTCACTTCCATGCAAGATCATTCCCGGCCTCCACAAGGTCAGTCACAATCTAGACCCAATAAAATGATTGCCTAATTCCTTTTCTTCCATCCTTAAAAACTGAGTTGATCAGGGTTGAGCAAGCAAGACTACATGTGGGGGCAGTAGTGTCAGTATGGCAGGGATCTGGAGCGTAAGCAAGGAAGACAACCATCAGGCCTGTGGGCATCAACACTCAAGTATTAATATTAAAGAGCACACCTTCATCCCACATCATAGTTTCTAAATATCATGCTCCATTAAGAGGGTCGGTGGCTTCTTAGAGAAATGACTGGTTCTAGGTTAGGGCAGGGTTGTTTTCCCTGAAACGTATCTTATGCCAGAGAGGAAGGAAGTACTCAAAAGAATTAAGGAGATAGATCAAAAAGACAAAGAAGCAAGCTTAAATAAGCTATTGACCAAATCTGGAATGATTTCAATTTGAAAATAAATAAGAGGAAAATTTCCATTTCTGGCTAAGGAAGATTAACTGGCTTGCCCACCCTCCACAAACTACTAAAAAACTAGATGGAATATACATATTAAACAACTAGAAATTTACCCCTAAAGATATGAAATAGTACATCTACATAAAGACTTAAAAAAGAATGTTCATAGTAGCTTTATCTGTGATCATCACCAACTTTTTATAAGCAGATTACTGAGTAAATTGTGGTGTATCCCTACAGTAGAATTTTACTCAATGCTAAAAAGAAAGTAACTACTTGCTCGGCGCTTGTGGCTCAGTGAGTAGGGCACCAGCCACTTACAGCAGAGCTGGCACTTTGGAATCCAGCCCAGGCCTGCCAAACAGCGGTGACAAATACAACCAAAAAATAGGTGGGCATTGTGGCAGGCTCATGTAGTCCTAGCTACTTGGGAGGCTGAGGCAAAAGAATCACTTAAGCCCTAGAGTTTGAGATTGCTGTGAGCTGTGATGCCCATGGCTCTCTACCACAGGCAACATAGCGACTCTCTTGTCTCAAAAAATAAGAAGAGGAAAGTAACTACTGATAAACACAAGAAAACAGGTAAATCACAACAAAAATTATGCCAAGCAAAAGAAGCCAGGCAAAAAAGACTATGTATTATATAATTCTATTATGTGAAATTCTGGAACAGACAAAGCTAAACCATAGTGACAGTGGATCAGTGATTGGGGTTCAGGGAGGAGAGAGTATCTTACTGCAAAGAGAGAACTCCATCTCACTGCATGAGAGAACTTTTCAAAGTAATGGAATGTTTTTGGGTTTTTTTTGAGATAGTCTTACTATATCACCCTCAGTAGAGTGTGATGGCATCACAGCTCACAGCAACCTCAAACTCTTGGACTTAAGCAATTCTCTTATCTCAACCTCCCAAGTAGCCAGGACTACAAGTGCCCACCACAACACCCAGCTATTTTTTTGTTGTAGTTGTCATCGTTTGGCAGGCCTGGGCCAGGTTCAAACCTGCCAGCCTCATGTATGTGGCTAGTCCCTAACCACTGACCTAGGGATGACAAGCCATATAATGGAAAGATTTTATATCTTGTTTGTGATGGTGATGGGTTACATAACTGTATACATTCTTCAAAACTCATCAAAGAATTAAAAAGTGGGTATATCTTATTGTATTATACCTTAATAAAGGTGATTTAAAAATAAATAAAAGGCTTAGCGCCAGTGGCTCAAATGGCTAAGGCGCCAGCCACAAACACCTGAGCTGGCGGGTTCAAATCCAACTTGGGCCCGCCAAACAACAATGACAGCTACAACCAAAAAATAGCCAGGCATTGTGGTGGGCACCTATAATCCCAGCTACTTGGGAGGTGGAGGCAGGAGAATCACTTGAGCCCAAGAGTTTGAGGTTGCTGTGAGCTGTGACGCCATGGCACCCTACTGAGGGTGACAAAGTGAAACTCTGTCTCAAAAAGAAGGAAAAAAAGGGAAAAAAATAAAACCATTAAAAAACTAAATAGATCATAACGTAAATTAAGAATCCATGAGTCCATAGTATCATAAATAAATGAATACCTAGATAAATGGGGAGAACTACAGACTGTTTCTTATAATACGGTGCTAACTCGTGAATGTAGAGTGAGGCATCCTAGTAATAACTTTTACTTATGAAAAACAGTGGGTACTAAAACTAGTAGATATAAATACTTAGTAATTAAATAGGGAAAATATTTTTTAAGGAGGTAACCTACAAGACACCCCTTTAATCAAATGATTGAAATAAACCAAATAAAAAAAAAGAAAGAAACCAAATAATGGAACAAATGAAAATTAGGTATTCCCTCATAGATTTCCCTGAGAAGAATACAGCATCCCACTTTCATGTATTCCAGCTGAAGATATGTAACCTAAATCTAATGAAAACTAGCAGGCAGATGCAGATTGAGGGAAATTTGACCAAATAACTAACTGTGTTGTAATCTCCACAAGTTTCAAGTGATAAAAGTCAAGGGAAAGCCAAGCAACTGTTCCAGGCTGAAGGGAACCAGAGAGGTGGGGCGACCAAATGCAGCATGTGATTTTCGATTAATCTCTTTTACTATAAAAGACATCTGGATACAAATGGCAGAAACTGAATGGAATATGTAGATGCAATAATAGTGTGCTAGTGTTCATTTCCTGATTTCAGTGTTTGTACTGTGGTGATGTTGTAGAATGTCCTTGTTGGCTCGGCGCCTATAGCTCAACCGGCTAAGACACCAGCCATGTACACCTAAGGTGGCAGGTTCGAATCCCCAGCCCGGACCCACCAAAACAACAATGACGGCTGCAACCAAAAAATAGCCGGGCGTTGTGGCGGGCGCCTGTGGTCCCAGCTACTTGGGAGGCAGAGGCAGGAGACTCGCTTGAGCCCAGGAGTTGGAGGTTGCTGTGAGCTGTAATGCCACGGCACTCTACCCAGGGGGACAGCTTGAGGCTCTGTCTCAAAAAAAAAAAAAAAAAGAATGTCCTTGTTCATAACGTACCCAGTAAAGTATTTAGGAGTAATTGGGATCCCGTTAATGGTTTAATGAAATTCAGAAAGAAATTGGTTAACACTCTGATAGTAACTCTACTAATTCTTTGAAAAGGAAGGAAAAGGGTAAGAATGCTGTTAAAATGAAAAGTAAAAGCTGGGCACTGTAGTGAGCACCTATAGTCCCAGCGCCTCTGGAGGCTGAGGCTGAAGGATCACAAGGGCCCAGGAGGAGTCTAGCCTGGGCAACGTAGTGAGACTCTGTCCCCAAAACAAAGAGTAATGAGGTAGTGGACATTACCACCTACCATGCTTTTAACCAAGAATGTATATTTTAGGCTCGGCCCCCCTAGAACAGCGGTTACAGCACCAGCCTCACACACAGAGGCTGGTGGGTTCGAACCTGGCCTAGGCCAGCTAAAGCAACAATGACAACTGCAACAATAACAACAAAAAAATCAAGGCTTTGTGGCCAGTGCCTGTAGTCCTAGTACTTGGGAGACTGAGGCAAGAGAATTGCTTAAGCCCAAGAGTTAGAGGTTGCTGTGAGCTGCGATGCCACAACACTCTACCAACTGTGACATAGTGAGACTGTCTCAAAAAAAAAAAAAGAATGTATATTTTAGTCTACCCTTTTTATTGTAATTATTATAGGCAAAAAAAGTATTGAATTAGAGAAGAAACGACTCTCTCAACCTAAGCCAAAGCCCAAAAAGAAAAAAAAGCTGACCTCGAGAGCTCCTGTAAAGCTGGATTCGGTTGATGGGAACGAAGAGAACAACGTGGAGAACCTGGGACCTGTGGAGAATGGCGTGTCAGACCAGGACGGGGAGGAGGATGCTCCAGAGCCAGAGTTACCCTGTAGCCTCGCTTCAGTGGGTATGTGGCAGGGGCCCGGGTTTCCCTATGTCTAGGATTTTCATAGTCACTTCCCAGAAACTAAACTGGGTCCTCATTCAGCTTGAAACGTTTCTATCTCTGACCTGCCTATTTTCCCAACTTCAAGTTTGGAGTTTTCAAGAGACTCTAGCAAATGATTAAGGTAGAAATAAAGTTCTGTAGAGAAAACCTTTTAATCAACTTGGACAGGGTAGGACAAAGTGCAGCTAGGGTAATGTGTACATAGAAACTTCTGGAGAGGAGAAGCAAGAATCCAGTGTGCTCCATACTGATATGAAGCTAGCAGACAATAAATACATGCCCACATAAGAGAAAAACTCAAATCAGTTTAAGGTGAGGGGCAGGGGAACAGGGGAGCCAGGAGAGGGGAGGAGAGAGGGGGATGGGTGTGCTCCCACTTAATGGGCACAAAGTTAGGGTGTATGGCACACTTCTTGGGGGCAGGACACAATAATAAGAGGGACTCTCCCTAACAAATGCAGACATTGTAGCCTAATACTTTTTACCTTCAGATTAACCTGAAACAATAAATAGATTAATAAATAAAGTTCCTGTTCATTAATTTAACCACAGTGAAAAATAAAAAGAAACTTCCAAGGAAAAAGCTTTAACAACATGACATTGTTAGCCACATTTATTGAAAGAAACCACTGTCCCTTACTAATGTCTGACGTAGAAGCTCTTGCCTGTAGGAGCTTATTCTTAGGGAATTTGCAAGTTCTCATCCCTCCTACCTGAAATTTTTCCTGATTTTTCTGTCTCCTCACAGAAAAAATAACACGTATATGCTTATTAGATTCTTTAGTCAGGTAAGCTATAATGGCATTTTTTCAGATTTCTCACAAAACAGCCTTCCATGACTAATAATATAATCTATTTCTAGTTTAAAGAAGAAAAAAAAATTGCTGAGTAAAATTTTAGTGACTTTATTATATACAGAGGGTGCCAAAAAAGGGTATACACATTTTAAGAAAGGAAAAAAACTGTATTAAGTTTATAATACTCAAGTTACATTTGATAGATACTCCACGGACTTGTACACGTATTCATTATTGTTATTGGTATATATGAAGTATTGCAATTTTAAAGGTTTTTCCATGTGCATACATTGTCTGGCACCCTTTGTATTTACCTTAAACATTTGTTACCTGTTAATAGGAATAATTAAATAGCAGACAGTACACATAAAAGCAACTCATGCTTAATTCCAAAACAATATTTTGATGTGACAAAATTAAAATGAAATAGGCCAGGCGTGGTGACTCATGCCTATAATCCTAGCACTCTGGGAGTGCAAGGTTGGTGTATTGCTCAGTCGAGTTCATTGGTTTGAGACCAGCCTGAGCCACAGTGCAACCCTGTTTCTACTGAAAATACAAAAAACTGAGGCAAGAGGATTGGAGGTTGCTATGAGCTATGAGGTCACCATGCCACTCTACCCAGGGCGACAGCTTGAGACTCTTTCTCAAAAAAAAAAAAAAAGACCAAAATATATGGTATGGGGCATCCTTGACCTGAGACCCTCTCCATCCCAAGGGATAGCTGTTAGACCCATAATTTGGGTAAATAAAGAGCTATAAGGCGAGTGGGTTTATCTTTTATGCTCATCAAAATACTTTTCTAAATGGCTCCCATAGTTCAGTGGGTAGGGCAGTGGCCACATAACACTGAGACTGGCAGGTTCGAAACCGCCCCGGCCAGCTAAAACAACAATGACAGCTTCAACAGCAAAAAAGTATCCTGGTGGTGTGGTGGGTGCCTATAGTCCCAGCTACTTGGGAGGCTGAGGCGAGAGAATCTCTTAAGCCCAGGAGTTTGAGGTTGCTGTGAGCTATGATGCCACAGCACTCTACCCAGGGCAACAGCTTGAGGCTCTGTCTCAAAAAAAAAAAACCTTTCTAGTCACATTTGGTGGTGTGCACCTATAATCCCAGCTACTGAGATCACTTGAGCCCAGGAGTTTGAGTCCAGCCTGGGCAACAAAGTGAGACTCATCTCTTTTTTAAAAAGGGAAGAGAAAAAAGAAGCCTTTCTATCACAGAATATCTGCACAAAATGTCATTTACCCCTTTGCATCAATAGCTTGTTTTTTAAAAAGTTAATGTGCTAAGAATAGTGACTTCATATCACACTTAATATTCTTTAGTAATAAAGTTATTCCTTGTTAGTGTAATTAGTAATTAATTAAATATGCAATTAGTACTTTGTGAACTAAATAAGTAAACACTTTGTCCCCTGATCACAGTTTGGGAACTACTGGGCTTATGATACAAAGTTGAAGAGACTAAAAGCCTATAACTTTCCCTTAGTCAAAAATTCTAAATAACAAAATTCTTGCAACAAGTTTGTGAGATGAGATGCTTCCTTTCCAATGCACTTTGTCTCATATGCTTTGGTAATAGGTAAGACTGTATTGCTGAGCCTGGAATAGCTCTTAATTTTTAAAAAGAACTGTTAATAGATTTTACATTGTTTTTATCCCAAACATTTTTCCTTTTTCCCCACGATACAGTTTCTAGAGAACCAGTTACCTGCACTCCAATTTCTTCAGGCTTTGAAAAGTCAAAAGTCACCATTAATAACAAAGTCATTTTAGTGAAAAAGGAGCCACCTAAAGAGAAACCAGGTTGGTATCTAGTAATCAAACTATAGTGTTTTGTTAACGCACCCTAAAATTTTACATGCAGCTGAAAACTCAAAGGTAGATGGTTTTTATTTGGGGTGCTTTTTTAGGTGTTAAATGTGCGTAGGTGTTTTGATTATGTTGTAATTTGGGGTCATGCTTTTGAACATTTTTGTAGCACTTGATGGAATGTTTTGTAGTGAGGGTGATATTTGCATTGGGAATGTTAACAAGGGCATTTTGGGGTCTCTTGTGAACATTGCCCCCAGCTAATTTATTTTGAAAGGGGCTTCTGTGGAGAAGTAGGAACTTTCTGTGCTCAGTAGAATCTAGTAATTTACATTCACACAATAGGCATTCCTTTTGGTGTTTCTGATCAGCTCTCCTTCAGATGGTCTGTACTTTTTTTACATTACAGAAACCTTAATCAAGAAGAGAAAAGCTCGTTCCATGCTTCCACTGAGTACAAGCCTGGACCACAGGTCCAAAGAGGAGCTTCATCAGGACTGTTTGGTACTAGCAACTGCAAAACACTCCAAAGGTATAAAAACATGTTTCCATGGCCTTCTGGGAAGGGCATTTACTTATTTTTGAATGGATGAGCAAAAAAAGTGTCAAACTTTTTTTTTTGAGACAGTGTCTCACTTTGTCACTCTCGGTAGAGTGCTGTGGCAGCATAGCTCACAGCAATCTCAAACTCTTGGGTTTAAGTGAGGAACTAAAGACACCCGCCACAGCACCTGGCTATTTTTAGACAGCATCTCGCTCTTACTCTGGCCCCGTCTTGAACTCCTGAGCTCAAGCAATCCATCCGCCTTGGCCTCCCAGATAAAATTGTATTTTTGGGTTCTATTCTAGCCTTCCCTTTCCTCAATTCCCCCTTGCTCTGCTGCCAAACTCTTCACTCTGACCTGTCATCACGACCAGTGCCTTTGAGATGTACTACTCTGTTTTTATTGTTCTAAATCTAGTTGTTCCTAGTTATCTGCAGGCCAGAATTGATACGTTAACTTAGATATCTCAGCATGAGTAGACTCTTTCAGCTATTTTTCTCTATTGCACAGTACCTTTATGAGGGAAATTTTTTTCCTTATTAAAAATATACCCATAATGTGGCAATTCTTTTAAAAAAATAGCATTTTTTATTTTAGAGTAAGTTTCATTATGAAACATTTTTGGTTTTTGTTTTTCAGAGCCCTTATTTAATGACCACTATTTTCACATTTAATCAAGTTTTTGAATATTTATTTTTATATATTAAAAAAGGATGCATATGATAAAACGAAATCAAAACAGTGTAAGAAGAAAGTAAATCCCCTGCTGGCATAATGGTGTAACACCTGTAATGCCAGCAATTCAGGATGCTGAAGTGGGAGATCACTTAAGGCCAGGAGTTTGAGACCAGCCTAGACAGCAAAGGGAAATCGCGTCTCTAAGGAAAAAGAAGAAAAAGAAAGTAGATCTCCTCCCCTCGGTCTTCTGTTTCTTCCCCCTAATCACTATCTCCTCCCACCCCAGTAAAGGTGACCACAGTCCTGGATTTCCATTCTTGTATCTTTTGAATTTTGTACTATATTATATTGTATTATATAATCAAACTATTATCGGTTTCTTGTGCCTCACCAGAGATATTTTATGCTTTTATTATACATAAAGCCTTCTTTTTGGAGCTTTGCAATGACTTTCTATAACTTACACAGTGAACATTACTTGCCTTATTGAAAAATTACTCAATTAACTTTTTAAAAGCAGAAAGTGGATATTGAATCCTCTTGTGATAGGTCCCAGTGAATATTAAGGATGCTGTTTTACTTTTGGGAGGGGGCGGGGGGACAGTTGTTGCCCTCTGTAGAGTGCTGTAGCATCATAGCTTATAGCAACCTCAAGCTCTTGGGTTCAAGCCATCCTCTTGCCTCAGCCCCCCAAGCAGCTGAGACTATTGGCTCCTGCCACAACTCCTGGCTCTTTTTAGAGAGGGGGGATCTCACTCTTGGCTCAGGCTGGCCTCAAACTTCTGAGCTCAGGTTATCTACCTCCCTCGGCCTCCCAGAGTACAGGATTATAGGCTTGAGCAACTGCTGACAAAGGACATCATGTTACTTTTTAATGTTTTATCTATTTATTGCAGCATTTAAATATTTATAGATTTTGGGTTGGTTTGTAACATTTTTTTTTTTTCTCCCCAATCTTCTTTGAGCACACTACAAACTAAATTGTGTATATCAATTTAGCCAAGGCTGAGCTTAACAGTTGCAAACCATCTGGGGCAGGGTGAGGGTGAGAGGGTCCCTGACCGCCCCTGATTGGTATGACTGTTGAAAGTCTTCAGTGTTCTAATACTTTGTTGCCTTTCTAACTTCAGGGGTGAGTAAATGAGGGCACAGAGCTCCAATTTTCCCAGTATCTGAAGTAGGTGTTCTAGACATGTAACAGTAATCACTTCATCTGTTTTTTCTTTTTTTGTCTTTTTAAATTAACAGAGCTAAATGAGGATGTGTCTGCTGATCTTGAGGAAAGATTTCACCTGGGGCTTTTCACAGATAGGGCTACCCTGTACAGAATGATTGAGATTGAAGGTGAGGCAAATCCAGTTAACATAATCGCATTCATCTTTGTATTTTCCTAATATATTGTATGCCCCTCTTTTATGGCTGCTATCCTTTGGTACTATAATGGTTAGTTTTACATGTCAACTAACTGGGCTTTGAGCTCCCGGACTTAGATATTCTTATACGCCCGTTTGCATCATCATGGGATTCTGAGTGTATGCTCTTTGGTCTTAGTGCAAGTGAAGGTAGGTAGGTGGACAAGTGGACATCAGGCCCCATTATAATCACTCTAATAGGTGACTCACATCCATCGTGAGTGACTGCATATTTTAGAGTTTATTCTCTTTTATCTGACCTTTTTCTAGAAGTCAGTGGAGACAGATGTTTCTGAAACATTTTCCAAGCGTTCTCTCTCTTTCAAACAGGAAAAGGTCACTTGGAAAATGGCCACCCTGAGTTATTTCACCAGCTCATGCTTTGGAAAGGAGATCTAAAAGGTGTTCTCCAGACTGCAGCAGAAAGAGGGGAGCTGACAGACAATCTTGTGGCTATGGCACCTGTGGGTATGTTTTTTCCAACAATAGCTCTATCGCCTTTAGGATATATCCACTACGAATGGCTATTAGAAGTACCAGTCTTAAGAATGAAATCATTTACAAATATAGTTAGATTTAAAGCTGATTCTGTTTGCAGTGACTAACTAATAAATCAACCCAGCACCT